CTCACGTGTCGACACGTGGTTCATCACGTATCTTAAACATCAACACATTCCCTCATCCGTCGATTCGGGTTCATCACAACATCCGGATCATGCCTTCTCATTCGGCGATTGTCGTTGACAACACCAACATAACACAACAAAAACAACACTGCACACACCCTCGTTTGTCAGCGTGCTTGGCGATTGTGGTTCGTCACATGTTCTAAACATGCCCCTCTTGTGTGGTGATGCCGGTTCACCAGATGTCTTAAACACAGCTGCTCAATTGGAGAGCAAGGTTCACCGAACAGATTGAACACACCCCAAACTCATATGGCGGCTTTGACGAGGCACTACATAGACCCCTGAATCGACAATTCAGGCTCATCCTTTAGTTAAACATGCCCCCCCCCCCTCCTCCCTCCCTCATGAATTCCTGATCATCAATAACATCCCATATTATACAACGCCTCTCCATTCGCGCCTCCGCTGTATCAGTTTCCATATACACTGGCACTCCTGCGACGACTCTGCATCACCATACATCTCAAGCATGATATCTCCCTTGGCGATTTGGCGTGTCTGGCTCACTGTTTTTTGCAATCATTACGCCTTTTGCACGCCACCTCCCTTGGCGATTCCGAATCGTCAGGCACGAAGCAAGTCACCAAAAAAACACACAGTGTGGGGCGTGGGATATGAAGCGCACACAGGACATGACACAAGCCTCAGATGTTGTGTGCCCTCTATAGGCAAACCATCCTGATGTTGTTAGTTTATTAGTTTCCTATGTCATTCATGACTTTCGAGCTTTGATGTCCTCGTGGGCACCTTTTGCGAGCCAGCGCATGACAACATCAGCAGTTTCGGACTTCATCATGATGAATTTCCGCTTCTGCTTGCATCTCCGGGTACACCGGCAATCGAAGTATGCCGTGGCCGTGGAACTGTCCTCTTTGAATGTCACCTTTCCCTCGCGACATGTTGGTTTCGATGGTTTGTCAGCCCACGAACGTATCACAGAGACGTGCATTTAGGGCTTAGGGTTTAGGGATTTGGGTTTAAGGTTTCGGGCTTAGGGATTTGGGTTTAGGGTTTTCTGTGGTTTAGGGATTTGGGTTTAGGGTTTCGGGTTCAGGGATTTGGGTTTAGGGATTTCGAGTTCAGGGATTCGGGTTTAGGGTTTCGGGCTTAGGGATTTGGGTTTAGGGTTTGCGGGGGTTTAGGGATTTGGATTAAAGTTTCGGGTTCAGGGATTGGGGTTTAGGGATTTCGGGTTCAAGGATTTGGGTTTAGGGATTTCGTGTTCAGGGATTTGGGTTTAGGGTTTAGGGTTTAGGGATTTGGGTTTAGGGTTTTCGGGGGTTTAGGGATTTGGGTTTAGGGCTTCGGGTTCAAGGATTTGGGTTTAGGGATTTCGTGTTCAGGGATTTGGGTTTAGGGTTTAGGGTTTAGGGATTTGGGTTTAAGGTTTCGGGCTTAGGGATTTGGGTTTAGGGTTTCGGGTTCAGGGATTTGGGTTTAGGGATTTCGGGTTCAGGGATTTGGGTTTAGGGTTTAGGGTTTAGGGATTTGGGTTTAAGGTTTCGGGCTTAGGGATTTGGGTTTAGGGTTTTCGGGGTTTAGGGATTTGGATCAGGGTTTCGGGTTTAGGGATTTCGGGTTCAGGGTTTTGGGTTTAGGGTTTTCGAGGGTTTAGGGGTTTAGGGTTTAAGTGTTTAGGGTTTAAGGTTGCGGGTTCAAAGGTTAGGGGTCCCGGGGATCACCAGGGGCATCGTAGAGGGCTTTGTTAGATTGGAGTTTAGGATCGGGCTACAGACAGTGTGGTTTGGGCGGCTTAGGGCTTTGATCGAAAAAGGTGCAAATGGTGCCAGGAATCTCCACCTCTCGCATCCTCTCGCACAAGATCCAGGTCTGGGCTAGCCCCCTGCGTCTCGTCGGGGATTAAGGTTTAGGGTCTAGGGTTTTGGGTTTCGGGTCTGGACATCAGCGTCCAAACACCCTCAAGACTGAAATTAACCAGTACTTATCATCCCGCAATCCGAGGACGGTCATCAGTCTACAGGTGTGCCGTAAACGACCAGGCCGCAAGGTCCACATACAGTTGCATGGCTAACAATAGGCAGCTACAAACACGTGAGTTTTGGCAACTTGTAGTCCAACCTGAAACACAAAACATGAACCTGCTCGAGATTACCTAATACAGGAACCTTATTAATTCGAACAGGGCTCCGTGGTAAATCACAGCATACCTATTTGTACATCTTCGTTATATGTATTTCTATCTGTCTCTTTAACGGTCCACCTATCTATCTATCTATACCTATCTATACCTATCTAGATATGCCTGTATGTATACACTGACTATCAGGCGCTCTTATTCTACATTGCTACCTGTTCTGGACTCTACTTCGCTCGACTATCACGTGCCCCAAAAAGCCCTGAAAAATGAAATCCAGGGCCTGCAGGAAAGCCGGAGGCAGTGGAGCACCGGGCTTCATCTTCGCCCACCGAAGGAGCAGCTCCTACTCGGGGTTTAGGGTTTAGGGTTTAGGGTTTAGGGGTCTCCAAGGCCATAAACCCTAAATGCTTCTCGAGATTAACTTGGCTGACCTCTGAACCCCTCCTAAAAGTTAAACTTTTAGCCGCCTTATTATAGCTAATATAGACACCCAGAAAGTTAAAGTCCTAAGAGCCAACCAGAAGAACGCCAAGTTAAGATGAGGCATGTGATTTTAGGCCCGGGTGGCGAGCACAAGAAACAGCTGGCTGCTAACTGGGAAGACAAAAATTCCAGGCTCCTAAATGACTCCACAGGCCAGATCTAATATATTGGCCTGCATAGTTAGAATGGGGTCTTGGGGCCCACTATACTAGAATTAGAATAAGGAGCACCATACATTTATTCTTCGACTCCGTGCATGGAGGGTGCCTCCGTTGTGTGCTTCCTGAGCCCGAAAGGCCGAAGTCGCCCGAACCGCACTTCCAGAGCCCGACCCAATAGGGTTTAGGGTTTAGGGTTTAGGGTTTAGGGTTTTGGGTTTAGGGTTTAGGGCCAATTTCCCCCCGTAAGAGTCCCCATCAACATCATCTTCGTCATCATCGCTATTATCATGATCAGGATCCAACACCATGATCCCGAAAACCACCGCCTTCCTCATCTTTGTCATCGTCATCGCCATCGTCATCATCATTTTCGTCTTGATCATCTTCTTCTTCTTCATCAGCACCAGCATCTTCTTCGTCACCTTCCGCACCTCCACCGTAATCATCATCACCGTGGTTCCTTTCTTCACAGCCATCATACCCCTGCCCTTCATCACCAAATATAATCGGTATCACCATCAAGGTCAGCCTCATCATCGCCATCTTCTGATGACTTTTCATCCTGGTGGTGGTCGTCAGCATCATCCAAATCAGTCAACCGACCAACGAGTCCAAAAGCAAATCCACCACCAATGGACAACGAGGTGATCCTGCACATCAACACGCTGCTGTAATCACACAAAAGAATCCTAGCAATGGATTGAAGCGCATGCTCCAAAATGAGATCTAATACGTGTAGGTGGAAATAAATACATACAACATTTGCAACGAGTCACGTTCAGCCATACATCACCCATTGTGACGAGTCAGCTAAGCGCCACTTCGCAATCAGGTATTGCCGGCAATGACATCATCCAAGAGAAAGAGACTTGAATTCCAGAATACCATGGGCAGTCAAGCAACACCAAGGACAACGAGCAAACAATCGCATCTGTTGGGGTCATCAGGGTACCCAGAAAGTACTTGCATAAGCAACAGCAACCAAACGAAGAAGACGAAGCCGCTAAGCAGTACCTGATGTAGGAGCCTTAATCATTAGAACAGGGCTTCGGGGCCCACTATGCTATAAATATACTGAGGAACCTCCAAATTTGTATTGGTAATTGTTTAGGCGTGGCATAGTGATGGCCATAAGGGGTTCCTCAGCTGAACCAGTAGCATCACGGCAACCAACAACTCCAAAATGGCAAGGCCCTAGTCTCAAGTGCCTAAGGACACTAAGGACTGGGGGTCAGAAACAGACAAAAGCAACCCTTCAAACACCCCACCTGTAGGGAGCTGCATCGGCGAGCTTCCTCCGCAAAGGCTTCTTGCCCCCGGCGCTCCTGAAGCAAGACGTCCATGGACTGAAGTCCTTACATCTTAGAAAAGGGTTTTGGGTACAATACATTTACTGTAGCATGACTGTGGATGATAAGAAAGAACCTTAAGTCATTCCAGCTTCTATATTAGACTCATGCATGATTTCATTTCATGTAAGGCGTTAAAGTTTTGATGGAGCTTCATATATGAGTCCGCATTGACATGGCCATTGGTATGTTTATTGTCAGAACGCGTATTTATATTGTTGCTCTTGTGAACTATTGCCTGATGACAGGGAGCAGCGTTACGAAAATACTTGGACAGGGCTCGGTTCATGTATCGAGTCTCGAAGCTGCTCGAAATGTCTGGAGCTTCACTAAAGACACCAAATGGTGGGATCCTAACTTTCTAAGCACCCTAAACCCGAAACCCTAAACCGCAGGACACCTGACACGATAACGATCCTTCAGCACCGAGGACGGCACATGGGACTTTCGAGTTTGACAGGTGGTGCAAGCTAGGAAGCTTGGTGACAGTAAATTCGAGCTCCTTTGTGCGGAAAGGAGGAGCTGAAACCCTAGTTAGCATAGACGCCAAACCAAAACCCTAAACTGAAGGGTTTACGGCTTCAGCTTAGGGCCCAACCAGAGAAGGCAAAGTCTGTAGCCACTGAGAGTTCGTGACGCATGGTCCTGTTGCTGCGCCCCATCTAGGGGACCTCTTTTGCCCATCGACTTCAGTCAGATGAAGCTCCAGCCCTCACTGAGCTTTCCTTGGGAAAAGCTCCATGTGGCTCGAAGACAGGCGCGGGTTTCGGAACGTTGCTGTCCGACCAACACGGTCGAATGAGCACGATCCAGAAGGAAGCGTCCAGCAAATGTCGGAGATGTAGGTCACGGATCGGCTGCATCCACGAAGGTCGCTAGGAAGACCGTCACGGTTGCCTTGCTCTCCTCATCCAGACATTCGACGCATTGCCACTGAATGTTCGGATAGCGACTGTGGAGCCCCCCAAAGTTAAAACCCATAAACCCGTGTGCCCTGCTCAGGGGAACCGTCGCAGCATACAAGGCAGAGTAGCCCCAAGGAACGCCGCAGAAGCCGCAGAGCGCCGCCAGCCCGAACCACGGCAATCCATTCAATCCAGTTTCAAGAAAGCCAAGGACCATAAACACCACAAAGGGCGACAAGAACAGCAAACCCAAGGCGATGCCCCTGGTCAGGGCAGTGCGGCGAGTTCGAGCACCTCCTTGTACCAGCTGCTCTAACTCGCCCTTCACCTGGACTTGCCGATAGAAACGAACGGTTAGGGTTTAGGGTTATAGAAACGAGACTTACCGCGATTATACCCACGCTCCGAGCCGCTCTTCAAGCGCGTGTCGCAAGAGAGAGAAGCGCTGTGCGTTACAAAAGGCAGTATGAAGCAGCATTCTTCATTGATCTGTTAGCATCTGAAAACTCTGCGATGTTAGTACAGGGGCCCATTATACTATAATTAGAATAAGGAACCCCCAAAATAGTATAGATAATCACTAAAGTCACCTATAGTAGCTGGAGATGCGCGAAAACTCGGGGAGGTCCACGTTCGCACTTTGCGAAAAGGGATGATTCACTGGACGTTTGCGGTGGGTTTCCCAGAATCACAGCCGGATCAAGGATAACTACACCGGGGAAGGATAACCATACTGGCGGCGCATACAGGCACATAAGTGCACTAGGTCTTTGTGGTGACAGGAAAGCTGATCCATGCAGGTGCTGTCGGTACTGCGCTTTCGAAACTCACTGGCGCGATCGACGAGCACGAGTTTAGGGCGTACGGTCTAGGGTATACCACGAAATCATAATAGAGATAGCAATGATACGAGTAATAACTATGCTACTAACAATAATTACAACAATAATGACAACAACAGTGACAACAGCAACAATAACAATAATACTACCGAACAACAACATTTCAAGAACCCAAACCAGTGTACAGCCGTACCAGCTTTACTATCCAGCCTACGTGTGGAGTTCTGCCATCCCACCTACAGAGTCAGGACGGCATGAAATACTTGGATGCAGAACTGTGGCTATGATCCCTAAACCCCAAAAGACTGAAACAATGTGGGAGTTTCCGAAAACAGGGGAAACTAAACAGAGTACCCGAAATAGCAGGATCTTTCTTGTAAAGACCCCAACATCAGGTACCCCGAATTTTCGGAAGCTCCCATGTTGTCCTTTCCTGCTTCAGATCTTGACCCGGACATTCGAGATCCGATCTGCAGTACCGATTTACCAACAAGGGCATCCGTGAGAAAGAAACGGTAAAGAACCTAAACCCATAAACCCATACTTCAACGAATCGAAGCAGACGAACTGTCCGCAGGATTCGGGCTGTCGATCGAATCTGCGGTCTTCATTGACAAGTCCCCGTCCCGGGCGGGTGCGAGAATACTGGGGGACTTGGTGTAAGGATCCATGAACGGTAAGACTCTGGGTATCGTGAACCCATCCCGGCGACAACAAGGATACGCTGACAACTGTCCGGTTCTTAGTAGGGAACGGGACCAATATCCATTCCCCCATTCCCTACTAAGCACCAGGGAGACAATTGTCCCATCTTCACGACTCCAATTGCCTGTCTCGGCATGTAACTGTATACGATATACGGCCTGGGAGCTTGTGGCGCTATTGCATTTTGCCGACCCTACAGACATTGTTTAGCCTGTCGACACTGCCAAACAAAATATGTAAAGCCTGCGAAATCATGAGGATGTCACGTACTGGTAATCTTCTGGAGTGAAATGACCTTGCAGTTCTGCTGGCGCTTCCTCAGGCAAGTGGGGTATTTGCCAGAGGCCCTGCTTGAAGATTTGCACCACCTCCGACATTAAGATGCTTGTCTCGCACAGCGCTGGAGGACATGGCACAACGACAGCCTTTTCCTGCAAAAAGGGCAACAACTACTGCTTGGAGTTTGGGATATTGGCACGCTGTGGACTGAAGCTGCGTGGACACAACATGAATGCCACAAATGAGGCGGCCTATCTCCTTGCTGGAGCCGAAGTATGCGTGTGGAATCGACGCTTGCGTTTACGTATCCAGCATGACACGAAACTATGTCACAGGTTGCCCCCAGGCTCCTGCAGGAAACATGTCTAAATGCAAAATCCCAAAACCCCAATCCGTCGTGGCCGCGTAGGCCTGGGGATTTCAACGGAGCCGTCTTCTGACAAACTAGAGGTAGGGGCTGGGGGAGGACAGAAAACTGAACTCCTAAGTTCAATCACGTCATCCCTAAACCCCAAAACCCCTAGCGCTAAAGCCTAAACCTTAATGGGAGAACAGGAGTCGCTCCTCCGCCGAAGTTGCCCGGAGGACGTCGGTCAATCGTGTTCGCAAGGCTTCGGCACTTGTCGCTTGCCACTGCAACTCCTTGCGGACGAGAGGCTTACCTTTGGTTAGTAGGGAATGGAAGAATGGTAGTACTAGTAGTTATAGTCGTACCCCATTCCTCCATTCCCTACTAGCCGAAGGCAAGCAGGTCGGGATCCGATGAGAGCGGGCTCGGGGTTTCCATGTTCTGCTGTGGTGTAACCTTGTGCTACGCAACGGACTGTAGGTGCTTCAGGTTTATGAAGGACTGTAGCAGTGCGCCATTCTGAATATGACCAGGCACAGACATGGCAATGTACAGGACCATGGGAGTAAAGCAGCAATATCCTGACCACTGTTATCGTCATCATGGCTGCAGCAAGTAGCAAGGAATCACCAAGAAAGCCTCTCAACGTCTTCCCAGGTTCTGTTCTCACAGCTTCCGCTCACCGATCCCGTCCTCATTGGCTGCGTCGAGGGACCGCTTTGTTGCATCAAACTGCAAGGAGGTCCGCTCCAACCTGCAGTCACACTCCAAATTCTATGCCTTGCGATTTAGTGGCTCTTGCTACCAACCGTGTCAGAATGAGGTTCAGGGTGCAGGGTTTCGCTTGGAAATGCAAGAACTTCCGGCGCAGGTCGCAAAGGTCGAAGCATCACAAGAACCTGGTGATAATGGTGATGATTGGGAGCACCGCATCGATGAAGACGATGGCGGTAATGACGGTCGTGACAACCGTGACGGCGATGGTGATGGTGAACCACACGAACAGCTGCAATAGCACTAGCGGGTGTAGTAGTTAGTGCAAAAACTGTCGCATAACACTGACTGTAGCTGCTGATGGGCTAGCATAGGAGGCTTAATAGTCAGAATAGGGTTTTGGGGCCCACTATACTATGAATATGATAAGCAACCCCCAGAATGGTAGTGGCAACTGTTAAGCCCCTATAGTAGATCCTAAAGAGGCGGAGGATAAGAACGACGCGGGGTTGGGCGAGGAGCACGACGAGGCTGACATTGGCTCTTATGACCGTGGCATTAAATGATGTCCATTGTTGATATTGCTACGACCATGCCTACTTCGAGGTTCATGGGTAGTTATAAGTGGAGTTGTAAGTCCCCTAATATGGGTTAGTACTGTAGTTACCTTACTTATAACCCGACTTATAACTACCCATGAACCTCTAAATATTGCGATGCGCAGCAGAATTAGTAGCAACCTTGGGATGCAAAGGCCTCATAGGAAGACGGGTTGTGGTTCCCTTGGCATGAAGATCAGCTCACTGCAGAAGCAGTGAGCGGCGGATTGTGAGGGTTGTTGAAGTAAAATTGGCAGCAGAAGGAGTCTCAGTATGAGGTTAGGATCTAAAAACACACTGACACTCCCCACTCCCGAGTGTGAAACCCGCAACCCAAAAATACTCTGCTAAGGCATTCTACCCAGAAGGTGACCTGAAACCGTAAGCGCTCAAAAACCTAGGTCCAGGCCACACCCCACATTGCCAAAATCCTAGGCTCCTAAACCACTCTGAGAAGGGCACTGTCCAGCCCGAAGGTCCAGTTCGTCGCGCCTAGCTGCTTCATAACAAGGTTTAGGGCTTAGGGGTTTAGGGTTTCGGGTTTAGGGGTTTAGGGTTTAGGGTTTAGGGCAAGGGCCTCAGTGAATAGTTTGAATAAGGCTAGTTTCGGTACATATTATCGTATAAGCGCTTGATATAAAGGCCTGAGTGAATAAGTAACATGGAGCTAGTTTCGGGTTTAGTGTAGTACAGCCGCTTAATATGAGGGCCTGAGCGTCCAGAATGGGTTAGTTTCTTGCACATTTGTGTATAACCAAATTCAGGAACCCTAACTAACGAACCCTTAACCCTACGCCCTACGCTCTGGAACCTCAGCGCTGATCCCGAGCTCACGGCTTGCGCCTTTGTTTAGATCTGTGTGCATGGTGTTGGCTTTCGGGTTTGGCGAGGGGGAGTATCGGGATTTTGGAGAATCTCGGGTCCCTCTGCAAAGGTTCTTTGTAGGGGTCCTGCAAATATAGGGTTCTATATTTGGGGCCCTGGTTCTCTGAAACTCTCATAGAGGGGCCTGAATGATGACTAGTGCCTGAAGTCCCAATAAGAATGCCCGCAATCCCTGGCCTAACTATGGCCCCCTGTATTGAGTATTATTTGGGAGGCCGAAGAGACGTCGTCAAGCTGTAGGATCTAAGCCCAAAGCCCTACCACTGAACCAACAACTGCTTCACCCTAGATACTCACGAACCCTACTAGTCTACCGCAGGAGCGGGTTCCAGAAGCCCTGCCCAAAACTTACTGGGTTCTTGTTCCGGGATTTACTTAATTTAAGTTAGCATAATAAGGATTCCTACTATGCTAACTTAAATCAAATCCCTTAACAAGAATCCAGCTTCGGGTTTAGTTGGTCTCTCAAAAAGGCCAAAACCCCCCAAACCCTTAGTTGGGTCGGGTCGTGAGCTCTAGGCCACCACCCCCGAGTTTGTGTAACTTAATTGATTAGGATGGCGTTTCGGGGTATACTGTACTATAACTGTAAGAAGGAGCCCCCAAACTGGTATAGGTAAACAGTTCCTGTAAATATTAAGGCCCCTACCTTACTCGTGGCTTTACCTTCAAGGGGTGCAAAAAAGCCTGCGAGGCCAGACGAGCCTTGCACCTTCTTTCCTGCGCTCGCGGTTTTTTCTTGAGATCATTCTGGGCCCAGGAGAAACTGTCGGGCCAGATGCTCGTCGCCCCCCGCCGCCTCCAGAGCAAGATGGCACCTGCTGCTGAAGGGAACCGGTTTAGGGTTTAGGGCAAGTTTAGGGTTTAGGGTTTAGGGCAAGTTTAGGGTTTAGGGTTTGGTGCATTTGGGGGGGGGAGGGAGGGGGTAAGGCTTCGGTCGTTGGCTAAGGGCCAGAATCGCCAGAGTCTCCTCATAAAAAACCTTTCGCTACCCATGCAGTAGAACCAACAGATGCCGTACAGATGCTCATAATACGTAAACCCTGAGACCCTTGCGTTACCCGAGGCGCTTGGTGACTTCGAAGCCCGACAAAGCGAGGCGGCCCACGGCATCTTCGAAGGCGTCGGCCTCGGAGAGACCCAGCGGAAGGGACTCCGGCGCGGGATCCCCGGCGAAGAGCGGCGCGCCCTGCACTCGCCAGGCCGGCAAGACGGGCTCGGAGGACTTCGAAGGGCCCAACAAAGGGTGCTCCTCCTCCTCCTCCTTTTCCTCCGCCTTCTTCGAAGCCTTCTCCTCCTCCTTCAGAGGCTCCGGCTCCTTCGCAGTCTCCTCCTCACTCTTCGGCTTCTCGGAAGCCTCCAGGAGCTCGGCGAAGATGTCCACGTCCGTGTCTTTCGCAGAGCGGTGGACGCTGCGCCCCTCCGGAGCTGGGGGAAGCGGCAGAAACTCGCGATCCGGGCCCAAACCACCCCAGATTCCGTGCTCCTCCGTCGCAAGGCTCGAAGCCTTGAGACTCAAAGCCCCGCTCTTGGCCAAATCCTGGGCTCTTCTGGAGGCAGGAATCTGTCAGTTTCCAAACATAACCCTAAAATACTTAGAACCCCAAAACAGCTACAACCTAACATAATCCGACAATGCGTATAACACAAAAACTGGAAAGTTCCTCCGAAAACTGCCCGGGTTCCCTTCGCGCTGCGCGGAGGGCCGCTGCTGTCTTCGGCTTCTTGGTGAGCCAACGCTGGCCTCCGCAGGCCCTGCAGCGATCTTCGCCCTGGCTTTTCTGTTGTTTGGAGGGTCTTTGGGTTTAGGCTTTAAATCCTAAACCTCAACCCTAGCTCTGAACCCTGTAAAAACCTACTACCATTCTTCCATTCCCTACTAACCAAAGGTAAATAAACCCTAGCTCTGAGCCCTTTAAAAACCCTAAACCACGGTTTAGGCGGTTTGAGGCTTTTGGGCTCGGCGCCTCGTCGTTCAGCAAGGTGCAGGCCGGACAAGCCCACTGCGAGTCCACTTCTCTCTTCTGCTTCCTGTAAAGGGGTTTCGGGTTTAGGACTTCTGAATCGGTTTAGGGCTTAGGGGTTTCGTGTTTAGGACTTCTGAACGGCTTTAACTCAGGAGTTTCAGGTTTAGGATTCTAGCGTTTCGGCTTTGGCTTCGGGCTGCAGCATTTCAGGTCTGCATGGCAGAGCCGGGTTCCTGGCTCCTACCTTGGGGACGTAGGCCCCTTGATGCAGGGGCTCGTGGCAAGAGAGATGCACAAGGAGAGAAGGCTAGGCCCTGAAACTGTGAATCCTAAACTGCCCTAACTAAACCCGAAACCCTCTCCTTTCTGGCGGAACCACCACCACCACACCAAAAGTAGGAAGCGAGCTGCGGAGGCTGCCGCAAGCCACGCACCTACTGGACTCCAGCTCGTTCACCAAAGTGCCTGGGCTCTTGTTAACAGCAGTTTTCTTAAGTTGCCACAGTGGGTGTCTACATACAGACGTATAGTGAAAGTGCTTGGGTTTGGGTTTTCCGACCGTTGTATGCTGTTCATGCATGGCAACTCAAATTATGGCCCTCAGCCTTAGCCTTACCTTTGGTAAGTAGGGAATGGAGGAATGGGATACAATGATAACTACTATTACTACCATTCTTCTATTCCCTACTAACCAAAGGTAAGCTTAGCAAGAACCCAGGCGCAAGAGGGGCAAGTCCATCCGGTATCCCACGCCAGCTCTTCGTCCAGCTGAGGTTCCATGGCACTATATAAATAACTACCAATACGATTTTGGGGTTCCTTATTATAACTGTAGTATAATGGGCCCCAAAACCCTATTCTAACTATATAGACTTTTCTCAAGCAACAGCGACCGACACTGGTGCCTTAACCATTGGAAAGAGTTTGAGGGTAGTTATCCTAAAATGGAATGATAGAGGGCTATAAAGGGGACATTATTATACTGCTTCAGGTACTAGTGCTGTCGCAGCTACGGCTTGCATCAGAATCCTGAGCCCAGGCTCTAGAAACCAGCGTGGGTCGCAGAAAGCCGAAGATCGAATCCTGTTACAAGAACTACCTTAAACTACCACAACCCTACTTTTGTGTAGGCTCGTATTCTAGACCCTAAGCTGGAATTTATAAGGACCCCACTAAAAAGTAGGTTTTGGTAGGTTAAGGTATCCTTACAAGACAAGAGCATCCCTGCTACTTCGGGAGACTCCTGCTGGACGTCGGAGAAGGGGCAAACGTGTCAGAGCCGCCACGAGCACCGAGTCGCCCAGCTTGGCATGGATGCCTTTCATGATCTCAAAAAAAAAGGAGGGACCCCTTAATAAGGACCCCTAGGTATATACCCATAATATAGCCGTTATATACCCGTTGTATAGCCCATTATAGGGTAGGGGTCCTTGTTAAGGGTCGCTCCTTTTACCCTTTGATGATCGGGACCCTTAGGAAGGTAGGGGACTAATACTTCCTTAAGTTGGCCTTGTTACATCCTTATTACCTGCACTAAAGCCGCTTATTTCTAAGGGTCCTTATGAGTTCAGCAGCTCTGTGGATCTATCGGGGGCTTGAGGCCCGGAAGCGGTTTTTGGGAGCAGCTCTAGTGACTCCAGCGCGTGGTACTAAGTACTACAGGGACCTTCGTGAAATAGAGGGTTTTGGAGTAAGGGACTGCAGGGAGATAATAGTAGTCACTATTCAGGCGCCTAATTACATTATGCTCTGCTGCCGTCGCCAAGAAGTCCAGCACCAACACTAAGACGAAGATCTACTATCACCACCACCACCACCACCACCACCACCACGACCACTATTACCACCACCACCACCACCACCACCACCACGACTACTACTACTACTGCTACTACTACTACTACTGCTGCTGCTGCTGCTACTACTACCACTGCTCCCACCACTGCTGCTACTTCGCCCGCTGCTCCCAATGCCACCACCACCAGGCCCGCACCTCGTCAGCCTCGTCCCGCTTGTCCTCCGAGGCATCCTCCACCTTCGGGCCAAAGCTCCGCAGACGGGGAGAGGGCTTGAGCTGGGGTCCTCTGTGAGGGTGATATCATGGGCTTTACAAGGGCTCTACAAGGGCACTACACGTCTTTTTTGCTGAAGTATCGTAGTGAGGGTACGGTGCTTAGACGCCGAGCGAAGTGGTGCAAGATGAAGGCAACCGTACCTACTCCTCAGACCTCCACGACGTATGAAACAGCCGCAAGGCCCGAGATGTCGTCCAAAACCCCGAACCGAGGTCCTCGCCAACTTCGGCGTACCGGGATCTTCCCTCCTCAGTAGTTGGATTGGATTCTACAAATAAAGGTTTTTGAATCAGGGTCGCATGGCGCTTTTCTGATAAAGGGGGCTGTAGGCATTATATTCTGTTTCCTTCTGGTCCTGTAGTAAACTGCATCGTTATAAACCCCAAACCGCTGTTCTCACTTTTGCGCCCCCTACAGGCCCTACGGTTGAAAGAGTTCCGTAGGCTTTGCTGTAATAGGGAACTCCAGAAAGTTGAAATATGGTTTCATGGTAGGATACCCTATAATTTACCATAGAAGGGTTAGGAGAATCATATTCCAACTTTCTGGCTTTTACCTTATGCCGGTTGGGGTGTGGGATTTGGGAAGGGTGGGAAGTAGAGGGCCCCTGGGTTTGTGTACCTTTCCGATCCAACGGTTGATGATATAAATCCTGCATTACCTTAAGGACCCTAAACTATGGGGATTATGGTATATTCCTTATTATGGCTAATGCAGGATTTATATCATCAACCGAAGCAGCTGCTTCAAGGGCTTCAACGGAACTCTGGAACATAAAGCTACACCCAACCGAACCCAAAACACGCAGCCTATGTAAATCCTACACCTCAGTCTCCTCCAAAGCCCTTACCCCGAACCCGAAACCCTGAAGAACTCGAGACATCACATGTGCTCGGTGCAAAGCTTGGGGCTTTAGCCGTAGGAGTTCAGAATTGTGGCGGCACAGCGATGTGACAGGTCTGTCATGGCTCACATTTGGGCGTCAGGGCATACGACAAGTTGCCCGATTCCTCTTTGGATCCGCAGAACCCATGTCTAAAGATTAATCCGGGCCTCTAGCCCGGTCTACGACCCCGAACCCTAAGCTAAACCCCAAAGCCCTGAGCTCTACTGACATCGCAGCCTCATCCCTCAAACCTCGCAGCCAAGAACGGCTTAGGGTTCAAGCATGGCCATGTCTCAGGATGGAACTCTGGAGCCCACATCAGAGTGCGACGTCGCTGCTCGCAGGCCTTTCGCCAGTACACGATCAGTTTTGGGGGTACTATAACTACAACAAGGGACCACCACCAAAATAGTATAGGCAATTATTTTAAGGCTCCTATAGTAAGGTTTAGGGTTTAGGGCCTTTACCTACCAGAACAGGTCCTAATTTGAGCCCTTCATATGGTGTTTGGAGGGACCCTGTAAAAAGTAGTTTCAGAGTTCAGGGTTTCAGCTTGACCGCCATCCCCTCTGATACCCTCCTTTCTTATAGAAAGAAAAGCCGAAAAGCCGAAAAGCTTCGAGCCCTTCGTATTCCCTGCCTCAAGATCTCGCTCAAGGCTGGCAGCACGCGCCTCTCGAGGCTCGCATAGATTCAGGGCTGATTTCGAGCTTCGGGCTCCGGGGGGTGGAAGGTTCAGGGTTGAGGGTTCTGCGATCGTTTCAGGCCTAGGGCCTGGGTTGCGGGAGCTTTGGTGTAACGGTCCCCCTGTCTTTCAAGCTCGCGAGGCAGGCCAAACGCAGGCGTTGTTGAGGTGCATGCGCGTGGCTTCGACAACCCGAGCAATGTAATGACCATGCCCAGTCTCCCTAGTCTCCCTACCGTAAACGGTGGGTTCGAGCGCATCACGCTTGAAAGCTACAAGTGTGCAGCCTGTGCAACTGGTTTCGAAAATCAGCTTGACATCGCAAACTGAGCTGCTCTCAATAAGAACGCTGACTGGTGAGTGCAGCGCTGGGCTAATTCGGGGCTCGCTTCAGACCCGAAAACCTCTACACTTCACCCCGGAAGCTCTCTTAACCCCACGGACGCGGTAACTCGACCATACTCGGTTTCGTATCAACATCATACTTTGTCAGCAAAGTCGGCCTGGGCCGCTTGCACCTCCTCGCAGAGCCGAGAGTGTCGTTCGCTCAGCGCCTCAAGAAAAGGTACAGGTCCCCGGCTCTTCATGCTGCACTTACCTTTGGTTAGTAGGGAATGGAAGAATGGTAGTACTAGTAGGTATAAATGTACCCCATTCCTCCATTCCCTACTAACCCAAGGTAAGTGCAAAGGTGTTTCGCGTTCAAGGTGTGGGTGTCAAGCCTTTGGGTGGTCTCGGCCTTGTGTGCTTTTTTTCCGCTTCTGCTGAGATTTGTGGTTTCGGGTGACAGGCTGGCGACTCAAAGAGCTTCGAGCCTTAGATCATATAAGGGATCCTACTATAATTTAACGTATATTCCTTAATTAAGGGATATCGGAGTCTCTAGGCCAGCCAAGGCGTGAAGTTCAACCCCTAAGCCCAAAAAGCCCAAAAGCCCTAAACTCAAGAGCTCAGATTCTTGATCCGAAGCGCGGAATTTTCAACACCGAACCCTACACCCAAAACCCCATGGCCCCCCCTCGCATCCCTCAAACTTAAAACAACGTCGCCGAGGTCCGCGCTTGATAGGCGCGCTCCGCCGCCTATCGCCACTCGCCGGTCAGAAGCGAAGCTCGGGCTTCAGGTGGTTTGATGTACTAAGGTTTTTTGGGTTTAGGGTTCAGGGTTGAGGGCTTCGGTTCAGGGTTTAAAGTTTAGGGTTTAAGGTTCAGAGTTAGGGCTGAGGTGTAGAGTTGAAGGTTTAGGCTTAGGTGTTTGAACAAACTGCAATGCAAGATTCTGTACAGATTCCTATACTATACTGAGTGAAGACCCATGTTGGAGGCCTTGGGGTGTTGGGCATTTCGGAATTTCGGGATTCGCCACAGGAGTTTTGGAGTTTCAGGGGTTTTGTCGGTAGTCTTACGCACAAGTCACGCAAATTCAGACCCTCCGTAAGCAGCTTGTTACGTTGCAAGGGTGCTAGAATCAAGATCCCCACAAGAATCCCATTTGAAGTCACCCCTGTTGAAACTACGGTCTACAGACCACGCCTCTGAGCATGGTCTGAGCTCCAGGCTTCAAAAGAACCAACTCTGACATGGGCACGCTCTGCGTGCGGAGCGCCCCAAACCCTGATCCTACGAACCCCTCCACCAAGCCCCCTAAACCCGATAAACCCTAAACCCTGTCACTGCAATTCCTGAAACGCTCATGCTGTAAACCCCGCGAGCCCACGCCCAGCTAGTGCAGGGGGCCTGAGATATTCGTAAGAGTATCCCTCTACAGTCCCGACCAAACCCTCAAACAATCATTACTGGGCTCTTGTTCAGGGATTTCAACAATCATTACTGGGTTTTTGTTCAGGCATTTAATTGAAGTTTCCCATGATAAGGAAACCACATTATTTACTATAGATCCCTATTATGGTAACAAAAATTCTTAACGAGAATCCAGATACTACTTCCTAAGGCCACTATACAGTAGAGGCCCAAAAGTTGGAAACCCCAGAGCCTCCATCCTTAAGAGTAATGTATAGGGAATCCCAGCACGATTTGGCCTTAATCCGGTTTCCAACTTTATGGGGTCTGAGCAGGGATGCACAGCTTGGGCCCGCCGCGCCTTCATGGCCCCTGGGTGGCCTCCGCTAACTAAC